ATCATCGGACCACCTGCAGCTGCGGCAGTGGCGTTTATCACGCGACCCGCAATTTCGATGGCCGCCCTGGTCGTGTCAATTTTAGTAGTATAGTATCACCCTTTCAAGCAAGTACCTAACACTATTCCATATTAGAACTTATACGCACAATCAATTGATCATCCTTTCAAGCAAATATTCCACAAGTTGGATATAAAGATATTGGTATTGCCAAATATAGAGATGATGGGATATTGGTGTTGCCTCTGAGTCACCCCAACTAGAGGACTTACACATGTAATCTTCTATAGCCTAGACCTTCTGTGACATCATTATTACATGTAGTGCCTTCACTCCATAACCTGGTCTCATTCTAAAATTTCTTATTTTGGTTTCATACTGTATTTAGACTTTTCACAAAGCTTTGTATCTGATTATAGCCCCTGTAGATTACAAAAACAAATTTTATTAAAATTTGCCTCTAGTCTGACTTAAACTATTAACTTAGTCTGTAGGGTTTGAGAGCTTAACCAATAAACTATAGAACCCAAATCCAATAAAACTATTTATATAGTTTCAAGATTTGATAAAACAAATGAATATTTAGTAAATATTTTTATATTCTAATTAAAAGTGATTTAAAATAAAAAATATTGAATTATTTAGATAAGTATGCAATCAATAACTTATTATCATTATATATCAATTTATTATTATATATTAATTTGAATAGATTCAATAAAAATCAATTACAGTCGAACCTCCCTAAATGCAACCTCCATAAATGCAATACCTTCCTAAATACACATTTTTGTCTTGGCTGTATAAAATTATTAGTGCTAAATGCATGTTCTATATTCTGCAAATGCACATTTACTTAAAAGATTTTTTATATCATACTAACCTCCCTAAGTGCACGTAGCCAATCAGAAGTTAGTATTTAAGTTTGTTATACAAGTCTGCAGATCAAATATTAAAAGCTGCAATTTGATTGGCTCCCTCTAAATGCAAACCTCTCTAAATGCATATTTTAGACTGGTCTGTACATATTGTATTTATGGAGGTTTGACTGTATCTGATATTTATCAATATACAGTATATATATTTATAATATATATTAAACTTATTAATATATATTGTTATATTTGAATTAATATATATCAGTTTATAGCTATATATTAATATCACAAAGTTGTAGCAATAATGAGCTTGTATTTACTAAATAGTAATATTAAATAAGTATTTAAATATTATATTTTTAAAGTACTTTAAATTTTAAATACTTGCTAAATATAAAATTTTATATTTATTAAGTACTTAATTTTTAAATATTTTATAAGTACTTATAATAAATATTTGTAACTATATCCCAACATACCTTAGCCCCAATAAATGCTTGCTAAATATTTAAAAAATATTAACAAGTACTTACTAAGCACTTTGATAAATTTTGTGATATGTTTAAAAAAATTTCTGATACTAGAATAATAACTAATGTATATTAGTAGAGAAATAGATAGAAGCTACTCGAATTGTTTATATGAAAGACAAACAATCAAATATTTCACAATAGACTGTAAAATTAGTCAGGCAATTTAGAATAAAAATATAGATTCTTTAAAAATCTGAAAGAGGAAATTCCTCTCTAATACTAGAGAAAGTCTATACAGCTTCAAATATCCAGAATCAAGAGAAAAAAACAACAATGATATGGTTGTATATTATGATTATTTATAAGATTTGGTTATGGTATACACAAGCCAGGTGGGCAGCAATAATATACTGGAGGATATAATTGGACATATCACAATGTCTAGAATCCAAAAAAATCTTAAAATCTTAAACAAGACACTGGAAAACAAAACAAAGAAAAAACTAGTCAGCTTCTTAAATATTAATACATAAATTGTAAATAGATAAATTTTACTACTTGTAATTATAGAATCTATTAAATAAAGTACGCCAATTCGCATTTTTAAAAAAAAAATAAAATAAAATAAGCATGTCATCTATTTCAGTATTTCTGTCAAAATTAGATTTCCGCGCTTTAATCTGTTCGGCTCGCTAATCTCGTCATGATTCGAATCGCGATAAACTCAAATTATTCGAGTCACAAGTTGATGAATCCTATTACTACGTGGAGAATTACGCTAGTAATTTATTTAAGCGATTTTTTGTAATAAGTTTAATTTCTAATTATTTTTGAACTAGAAAATAGCAATGGAATTTGCATTTCCTATTGCGTTCCTTTTATTATTTGAAATTTCTGAGATCTCTATTCAGAATTTAAAATTTATTAGCCCCAGCCAATTTAGACTTTACTAGAACTCTAGCGTTAACAACCCAAAGATTTCACTAAAAGAATTTTGTTAAATTAAGAAAATTCACTATTATATTAGGTTAGAAAGAATTTCATTAATGCAAAAAATTCGCGAATCAACCTTTTTTAACGCATTGAAAGTTGTTACACCCGATCTAAAAACTTGGTTGGCTGCTGAAATGTTTTATGGTAACGACACTAGAGCAGCTAAAACTCCAAGCGCATGGGCAGGCGCATGACTTGTTTATACAGTATACACGATAATTTACGTATTTCAATACCATTATCTCACTGGCCAATCAAATTTCAAGATCAGGTGTAACGCAAAAGTACAAAAGTTTTTGCCTAATAAATAGCGAAAGCCCTAATTCTAATACTGTATAACATCAAAATTATTTTAGTGAGGACAGTTCTGTAAACTTATTCTTCCGGCCCGACAACATTGATGAGTTAAAGCAAATTTCCAAATTAAAAGTTAACCACCTTTTTTTCAATCAAAATCAAAAAAGTAATGTTTCTTTTTTACATAACATTGCCTCTGATATTTCAGGTAAACAACTTGAACTATTCCACAGTAGGCGCGGAAAAGATCCGGAAAACAATATACAACAAATTTTTTGTCTTTAAGAATGATTAAACCACTTCTTCAGATCGTTAAAACGAATGTAATAAACAGTAAGGTTCATAATTATCGAGAAGGATTTGCCATTTGCGAAATATTAAATTTTGGGTTTAAATTTAGTAATTCTCAATTTAAAAATGCATTAAAAAAAACCGGAGTATACAGTCAACTCTCTCTAAGTGCAAGTCAATGGGCCAGAAAGCATAGCGAACTTTTATTGTGATTGGCTGATTTTTGTAGATCATCTCGTCATACTAAAGTATTATTAAAGTAACG